CTGGAGTGCAGTGTCGTGATCTGGGCTCACAACAACCTCCACCTCCCGGGTTCTAGCAAGTCTCCTGCCTCAGCCTCCCAAGTAGCTGGGATTACAGATGCCTGCCAACATGCTTGGCTAATTTTTGTATTTTTAGTAGAAATGGAGTTTCACCATGTTGGCCAGGCTGGTCTCAAATTTCTGACCTAAAGTGATCCACCTGCCTCTGCCACCCAAAGTCCTGGGATTACAGGCGTGAGCCATTGCACCTGGCATTTTTTTTTTTTAAAGGGAATGGTTCTCTCTGTTGCCCAGGCTGCAGTGTAGTGGCACAATCATGGCTCACAGTAGCTTCCTGAGTAGTTGGGAGCACAGGCACTCCCTACCATGCCTGACCCATTAACTCCAATTTTACACATTTGTCTGGAAAATACATGTATATGTGCTCATTCATAGAGAGATTTTAGATATGTAATTTATACATTTTCTTCTGGGGAAAATGTGACACCACTGTATATACATGTGTGCACACAAATATACACATAGGTATATTTTTTCCAGAAGAACATACCGGCTTAGATGAGGAGAGGGGCTGGGACTGAATTTCCGCTGCGATCGCTCCCAACCCAGAGCTTTCTACATTTTCTTTCTCCAAACATATTTCACAAATCTAAGATCCAACTGCATATATAATCTTATATCTTTTTGTTTAGTATATCATGAGCATTTTCCAAATCCTTAAACATTCTACAAAAATGCTATTTTTGGCCGAGGTGCAGTGGCTCATGCCTGTAATCCTAGCACATTAGGAGACTGAGGCAGGCGGATCACTTGAGCCCAGGAGTTTCAGGCCAGCCCAGGCAATGTGGCAAAATCTCATCTCTACTAAAAATACAAAACATTAGCTGGGCGTGGTGGCGTGCACCTGTAGTCCCAGCAATACAGGAGGCTGAGGTGGGAGGATCACCTGAGCCCAAAAAGTGAAGGTTGCAGTGAGCCAGGATGGTGCCACCACACTCCAGCCTGGACGAGACAGTGAGACCCCATCTCAAAAAAAAAACAAAACACTTTTTTTTTTTTTTTTTGAGACAGAGTCTCATCTGTCACCCAGGCTGCAGTGCAGTGATGCAGTCTCAACTCACTGCAGCCTCCGTCTCCCAAGTTCAAGGTTCAAGTGATTCTCCTGCCTCCACCTCCCAAGTAGCTGAGATTATGGGTGCCTGCCACCACGCCCAGCTAATTTTTGTACATTTAGTAAAGACGGGGTTTCACCCTGTTGGCCAGGCTGGTCTCAAACTCCTGACCTCAGATGATCCACCTGCCTTGGCCTCCCACAGTGCTGGGATTCAAGTGTGAGCCACCATGCCTGGCAAAAAAACAACAAATTTAAAATTTTTTAAATTAAAATTCTGTTTTCAACCACTGCACAAAAACACTATGATGAACATCTTTGTACAGAAGTATACGTTTCCATCTCCTCAGGACAGATTCCTAGAAAGGAAAATTCTGCATGCGGATGTTTGAAGGATCTTGATTTGTATTGCAAATTGCTTTGCAGAAAGGTCACACCAGTTTACAATCCCACCAGCCCTCAAAGTTTTTGTTTTTTTCTTTTAATTGCATTTTAGGTTCTGGGGTACATGTGAAGAACATGCAAGATTGTTGCATAGGTACACACATGGCAGTGTGATTTGCTGCCTTCCTCCCCATCACCTATATCTGGCATTTCTCCCCTTGCTATCTCTCCCCAACTCCCCACCCTGTGCTGTCCCTCCCCTATTTCCCCGACAGACCCCAGTGTGTGATGCTCCCCTCCCTGTGTCCATGTGTTCTCATTATTCAACACCTGCCTATGAGTGAGAACATTCAGTGTTTGATTTTCTGTTCTTGTGTCAGTTTGCTGAGAATGATGGTTTCCAGGTTTATCTATGTCCCTACAAAGGACACGAACTCATTTATAGAACTCTCCACCCCAAATCCACAGAACATACATTCTTCTCAGCACCACATCACACCTACTCTAAAATTGACCACATAATTGGAAGTAAATCACTCCTCAGCAAATGCAAAAGAACGGAAATCATAACAAACAGTCTCTCAGACCACAGTGCAATCAAGTTAGAACTCAGAATTCAGAAACTAACTCAGAACCGCACAGCTTCATGGAAACTGAACAGCTGGCTCTTGAATGTTGACTGGATAAACAATAAGATGAGGGCAGAAATAAAGATGTTCTTCAAAACCAACAAGAA